TACACAATATGAGGAGATTCGATAACTCATAAAACATAACGCCGTTTTGTCTGATTGATATGTAAAAGTCTATTCAACTTAAACTACTTTCTCAAAAGCAAAGTTTCCATTCAAAAAAATATATCCTGATATGGAAGGAAAGATGACAGCTTCTTTCCTCGCACTTTTCATTCATGACAGCTTAAACACAGATCGAGAATAACAGCACAGTTTCAAGGGTGGCCTTTAAGTAAACCACACCTTAAACTTAAATCACAGTTTTGATTTCTACAGATATCACAGCTGAAAATGTTGAGTTCCACGAGTAGGAAGGTATCACGAGGTGTTTTTGTGAATATTTCTTTCTAAAACTTCATCGAGCTTTTGTTCCAATATATCATTGGTTCCACGTAAGTTACCAACAACGTCTCGGGCCCACAGAAAGTATTCTTTCACCCGCTCTGGCGTCCAACCTTCTGGGGTCTCTCTTTCAAGGTCACGTAGATTGTAAAGCTTGTCCGCAAGTTTCACCAACTTGGCATTGTGACTGGAGGTTTTTGCATGAACAACCTGGAAAAACATTGCATTTGTATCAACATATTAGGAGGGGGAGAAAATACTCATCACTGCATCAAATTGGGGAATTAAAAAAAAATAGATCTGAATGAAGATTAAGAAAAATTAGTTCCTCACTCACGAGTTTACCTTAATGATTTTTTTTTGGTAACATAGCTTGTAGTAGGCTCTGAGCCCCCAAAATCTTAAAGTTTTCTTACATTGACAATAATGCAAATAAAACTATCAGCAATGAGGTTGTCTTTACATAAATTAGATTCTACATGCCCTTTAAGAAAACAGCATCAATTTGGAAAAAGAAAACAAATCTTGAAAAATTTTGAATAGTAATATGCTTACTTGCAATCGCTTCCTTTCAGCTTTTGGTAGATTTTTGTCATCAGTAACTTCATCTACAATGGTTCTGATGCTCTTCCCAAAGTGTCTTTCGATTTCATCAAGCGTCGTATCTGTGTCCTCAACAGTATCATGAAGCAAAGCAGCCTGAATTACGTCCAAGTCATAGACATGTCCTTCATCTGTAAGAATATTAGCTACTCCTGAAACAAAGACAATAAGGAAAAGCATTTTACTTCATCCCCAAACCAATGAGTAAAGAGAAAGTAGACTGTGTTTATCTTCAGACGTCCAGAGCTATGGATGGAGTAACTTTTAAAACGAAGAGAAACCGATTGTGTTCCTAGGTAGTCAGGCTTCGATTTACGACTTTAATACCTGCAGGGCAAACAGTATAATTCACACCTTGCATGATAGCAAGTGACATCCCTGGAGGAGGTCGGTGCAAGGGTCTTCCCTGCAAAATTGTTGAAATTCATCCACCTTAAGACATACATATTTAGAGACTATTCTGACGATGAAAATCTGCTGGAGGATTTTTAGTAGGCACATAACTGCTAGTTACTTCATTATATTAATCCATCAATGTCCTATTTTAAAACAGACAGGGAATGGGAAGGCGAATGCTGGTGCCCCCTGCATCCCGCCTGTGACCAAATATTAAGGCAATTTTGATACTGAAGCATATCCGCCAGCAGTAAATTTGTTCAATTCTCAGTTGCCCTTAATAAATTATTACTAGCATTTTATTGCTTTGGTAATCTCTCTTCTTTCATCCGTAAGTATTGTTCATCACTTACGATGTGCTTCATGAATGGCCCCATAATTGAAAGAAAAAAAATAATATGTCAACCAAGGAGACATCTCTTGACCATTCATTCCTTTAGCTTCTCACAAGCTGTGGTGTGATTATTTGGAACTTTCGAGTACAGAATTCATTGGAGGTAAATTAGGAAAAGCAGGGAAATGAAACAAACCAATGGGGTGATTAATGTACGGTGTTTTCTCAGAATCTTTTCTTCTTTGATTGGTATGCTTGATGGCAGCGAAGTTGGCACATTTGATGATTGCCGCCACTATTGAGTCATTGCGATTACTCATGGTAAATTCAGCCTTATTGTTCCTGCAAAAAGAAAATCGGTAGAATTACCAGTAAACCCAGTGCAAGGATTGTTTGAGTCCAAAGGTAAGTATTGCATTTGATGAAGTATCCTCATGAGTAACGTACCATCTTTGGAAACAGGGACCCTACTGCGTAAAAGCTGTAAATATATTTTTATAACCGCTACTGCTTAGATTACGTGATAATAAGCTTGTTGTATCAATGGTAATATTACATTGTCCTTGATGTTTATCTAATAATGACAGGAAGTCTACACAGCCATCGCAAGCCGAGATACGTGGTCTGGTAGTTTCACTGCCGATATGCCAGCTAATGTGCTTGAATTGCTAAACAATCATGTAGAAGAAAAACAATGTTTTGAATGACAACAGAAGCAAAACCACAAGCACTTTGCTGTGCCTCACCTTCTTTTGCAATGGGTGAAACAGTATAATGTAGAGTACCTTCACTGGAACCTTTAGATACATAAACCCTTGTAACCGGTAAACAGCGTTAGGGATGTAAATTATTTCACATGTTCGCTGAAAGTTTTAGATGAGAATCACTTTCAAAGCACGTGGAATTGAAAAAATAAATACTTAATCACTTGCACCCATCAAAAAAAAATTATCAACAATGTGCTTTTGTTTACTTCCTGATAACCTGATAACGAACCAACCCAACCTTGGTAACGAACTGATATCAACACGCCTCTGTCGGGCAAATGGTAGAACTAGGGTCTCTACTACTCATCTGCTAAGTATGCTGCCTAACCGCATAATCCAAGGGGTTAGAGCAAGGGATCCTCAGATCCTAATTTCTAAAGTTTAGAACTAGAGGAGCTATGGAGGGGGGCTAGAGGAGGGGGGTCATAAAGTGCGTAAACGTGACGATCTAAGTT